TCTCTCTTTCTCTCTCTCTTTCTCTCTCTCTCCCTCTCTCTCTCTCTCTCTCTCTCTCTCTCTCTCTCTCTCTCTCTCTCTCTTTCAAGACGTAATTGCTTTCTTCTCTGATTTAACCCATTCCGAGATAGCGGCGCTTCGTTTCCGACAGCAAGAATCGATCCCAAAGAATCCGTCCAATGCGAGTAGACACTTGTTCTAAAAAGTCGTACGTTTTACCAGAAAGTAATACATAGCGACCCTTTTCGCTCTGAGTTTGACACGTACTGAGACCAATAACTGACCTTGATTTTTTCAGCTAATCTAAGTCCATTCATACTAATTTCCTGATCCGCCAAGCAGGCATAAAACATAATTTGAAAATACTATTCACCATAGTCTGTCAGAAATCTTGGGATGGTGGGATACCGCTTCCGGATATAGAATCGATACTCTATTTCCGCCTAGCAAGGCCGAAAATTTCCCGGATTCGCCGTTAATTAAAAAGCGAGTCTTTTCCTTCTTGTCCCAGTAACTATACTCTTTGGGCCCTCGGGGGAAATCGCCACCACCTGATTGGGCCAGCGAGCTGATTTCATTTCTGGAGGGAGATTCTGGAGCCTTTCGTAATGGGATAAGTGGTGCTTTTCCCACAGCTGGTATAAGCTACCACCCGCATTCTCTTTCTTTGTGTGAACTAGAGGGGGAGGGAGCACCGTTAAACGGGGTGCCCACTACGGATGGGATCGGCTGATCAGGCCGATCGCCCGACTCGATCGCCTAAAAAACAAACGTGTTTGTTTTCAGTTTCAGGCGATCGAGTCGGGCGGTCGGCCCGATCCAGCTGTAGTGGGCACCCCGTATTAGCTGAGCTGGTTTTATGCTCGACTATGGGAGCAGATGACCTTAGTTTGAATCCCCAACGGGGCGTTCTGAACATGGGCTGTTTTTAAATCTCTGCACCCATTTCGCGCTGTTCTAATCTAGATGGATGTTCATTTGTAAGTCCCGTCTCTAGAATAGCCTTTTTGGGGTAAGTGTTTTACAGCCCTCGCAGCTGCATACGGTCGAATGAGCGCGCGGGGCACATTAAACATTTTCTGTTTGGTAAACAATTTTGAATTTTGCCCGGGTGGCAGCCGAAGCCTACTCGTATCGATTTTGGACGACCAAGGGATCTTTAACGTGCGCGACTTGCACACGGGACCTCGAGAATTTTCGCCCTTATCCGAGAAGGCTAGATCTATACAATGACGTAACGATAGCTATGTACTGTGGTCATCTATGTTTTGGTGTCATATCATAAAAATAAACAATAGTAGGGATTTCTTTTCAAAATACTATCTTAGAGAGCCACAAAGGTGATTGTCTTCTTAGTTAAGACAGACGACATTATGTAATTTACGTTTTTCTGTACAGCACGAAACAGAAACCAGTTGATCCGTTTTTATGAAGATTTTCTTTCTGTCCCAAATTATTGTTTGAGTTTTCTGTTTCTTGAAATCAAAGAGAAGCTCACCATCACACTCATCTATTATGAATCGCCTGTAATAAAAACTCACAATGGGAAAGAAAAGAATTATACCAATGAGAATCCCACTCCCCCCCAAAAAAAACCCCAACAAACAAAAACAAACAAACAAATAAAACAAGACGGTTATCAGAATGACCCACATTGTTACAAATAAAGAGCTAAACTCATTCTTATTTTCCTCACCGTCGCCTTCTTCTCTTTGCTCTTAGCGGTCTTCCTCGCCATCTGGTGCCTTTGGGTGAGCTTGGCCTCCCTGGTCATGTCCCGGCTGTGTCTAGCTTGACCCCGAAGGTCCCGTAGAAGAGTCTTGAAGTGCCTCAGTTTGGTGCGCGCCTTTTTCACCTCCTCTCTCAGCATGGCCTTTTCCTGGCGACATTGGCGTTTGGAGCTGTGGGGAAGAAACGACGGGGAAGAATTATTGTAAGTGTTTTACGCTCTCATCGACACAATATAGATCTCCAGCGTCTGTGGTGTAGCAGTTAGGCGCTTAGCCATCTCCCACAGAAGACTTTGGTTAGATTCCCGACTGGGGACATTTTTTATCGAACGAATATCGCGGTCTTTTAGTGCCCGCCCAACACCCGTCAAATGATACCTCCAGGCAGAATGGTGTTAGATTCTCTGAGTAATCATATAGAATGTTAAGTCAAAAGGTTTACTTTTGAGAGGAAATTTGCGCTCTACAAATTATTATAATAATATTAGTATATATTT